AGAATAGAGCCAACTGGGCCTAAAGTTTGCTTCGTTGGAAGTTTTTAATTAAGAATTCAAAATCTCTAACTGATGTGTGACTATGTTTTCTGTTTCTTCTCGTGTCAATTTTAGTAATTTGTGTCTTTTTTTTGAGGCAAAGTCTTGGGGTGTCACTCAGGCTGGAGTGCAGCAGCACAATCTTGGCTCACTGCCTCCTGGGTTCAAGTGATTCTCTTCCCTCAGCCTTCTGAGTGGCTAGGATTACAGGCAGACGCCACAACCCTGGTTAATTTTTGTATGTTTACTAGAGACAGGGTTTCGCTGTGTTGGCCAGGCTGGTCTGAAACTCCTGACCTCAGGTCATCTGCCCACCTTGGCCTCCTAAAGTGTTAGGATTACAGGCATGAGCCACTGTGCCTGGCCATCTTTTTTTTTTTTTTTTTAAGAGACAGGTTCTTTCTCTGCCACCCAGGCTAGAGTGCAGTGGCACAATTATAGCTCACTCAAGGGATCTTCCTGCCTCAGCCTCCTGAATACCTAGGACTCTAGGGATATCCCATCATACAGCTAATTTTTTTCAATGTTTTGTATGTTTTATGATTTTTCATATAATGTTATTATCCTTTTAATGTCTGTGGAATTAGTAGTAATGCCACCTCTTTCATTCTCAATATTGGTTATTTATATTTCCACATTTTTTTCTAACCACCCTGGTTACAGTTTGTTTTTTCATTAATCTTTTCAGAGTACCAACTATTGGTTTCACCGACTTTACGAATTTATTCATTCATACTCTATATCACTGATATCCTCTCTTAATTATTTCTTCTGCTTACTCTAGGTACATTTTGCTCTTCTTGATCTTAGAAAGAAGCTATATTACTGATTTTAAACTATTTACCTTTTCTAATATAAACATTTACCATTTTATAAATATCAACTAGGCACTTTGGGTGGCTGAAGCAGGAGGATTACTTGAGGCCAGGAATTTGAGACCAGTATCTCTACCAAAAGTTTGAAAAATAAGCCAGCTGTTGTGCTGTGCACCTGTAGTTTTAGCTCCTTGGAAGGTGAGGCAGGAAGATCACTTGAGCCCAGGAGTTTGAGGTTACAGTAAGCTATAATGGTACCAGTGCACTCTCACCTGGGCAATGGAGCAAGAGTCTATATCCCCCCGCCCAAAAAAAATACACACACACACAGTAGGTGGAGCTTATTGAAAGAATTGTCCACTGATTAAAAGAATTGTCCAAGTTTTCTGTATTTTTACTAAAATTTTTATCTACTTATTTTACCAAACACTGAGAGATAAATGTTGATATTTTGAAGTATAATGGTGGGGTTGTCAATTTCTCCCTTCAGTATGTCCATTTTCTTTTGAAGCCATCTTTGTAAATATAGTTTCATTTAATCATTATGTACATTTGATGACTTGATTCTACTGTCATTAAAAATTGTCCTCTTTTTCTCTTGGAAATCTAATTTATATTAAGATACCCAAATCGAATCACTCCTGGGCTCAAGTGATCTTCCTGCCTCACCTCCCAAGTAGCTAAAACTACAGGTGCACAGCAAAACAACTGGCTTATTTTTTAAACTTTTGGTAGAGATACCGGTCTAATTATTTGTGTTTACATATGTCTTTTCCTTCATCTTTTTGTTTTTAAATGATGAATAGTTAATGTCAATTTCTTATAAAAAGGTAGTTAGCATCTAACTCATGTAGTTTGACAACCTCCATTCTTAAAGGTGGTATTGAATCCATTTTCATTTAGTGTAACTGGGATACTGCAGAGTTGAGTCTACCACATTGCCATCTGTTTCCTATTTGACTGTATGTTCCTTGTTCTTTTCTCCTCCTTTCTTGATGCCTCTTCCCCTTTTTCTGGATTAAGTATTTTTAAATATTCCATTTTATCTCTTCTGGCTTATCCTCCATTCCTGAAGTGGGTTGCTCCAGAGTTTCTGTGTATCTTTAGTTTATCACATCCTAACTGCAAATAATATTCTAACAACTTGCATACAACACAAGAACTTCTGAGTTTCTGTGTATCTTTAGTTTATCACATCCTAACTGCAAATAATATTCTAACAACTTGCATACAACACAAGAACTTCTGAGTTTCTGTGTATCTTTAGTTTATCACATCCTAACTGCAAATAATATTCTAACAACTTGCATACAACACAAAAACTTCTGAGTTTCTGTGTATCTTTAGTTTATCACATCCTAACTGCAAATAATATTCTAACAATTTGCATACAACACAAGAACTTCTGAGTTTCTGTGTATCTTTAGTTTATCACATCCTAACTGCAAATAATATTCTAACAACTTGCATACAACACAAGAACTTCTGAGTTTCTGTGTATCTTTAGTTTATCACATCCTAACTGCAAATAATATTCTAACAACTTGCATACAACACAAAAACTTCTGAGTTTCTGTGTATCTTTAGTTTATCACATCCTAACTGCAAATAATATTCTAACAATTTGCATACAACACAAGAACTTCTATTTTCCCATCCGTTCTTTGTCACTATTTTGTTACATATTTTATTTGTATATGTACTGTACACTACAGAATTAAGTGTTCGTATTTCTTCTTTAAGTACTCAGTCTTGTAAAGAAATTTTGACAGTAAAGGAAACAAATCTTTTCTATTTACTCACTCACTCAACACTTACTGGGGTCATGACTTCTTTATATGGTTTCTGGTTGCCATTTGCTTTTATTTCTGACTGATGAGCCTGTGTCAGGCTAGTGAAAAACAGAACTTGTGCTCCATTTGTCTCTTAAACCCGCGATCTCTTCATACAGCACCTGAAACTTCGGAAAGTGCATCACTAGAAGTACAAGTAACATCGAGGGACCCACAGAAAGGCCAAGCCACTCTGCCTGGTCACACTCAGAAGAATTTTACAAACATGATACCATGGGTCATCAAGGTCAAACAGGTATTTTCCAAAAGGTTAAATAAAGAATCTTCATTTAAGAGAGAACAGTGTTAGAAAAAGCTCACTGGTATAAACCACCTACACATATCCCAGCGATGGCGAGACATAAACTGCACTGTACATGAAGTGTGGGATTGGGGCAAAGGGACTGAAGGGGAAGATCTGGGCCATATCTTTAAGCACCATGGATGTCATAGGAGGGACTCTGGACTTTATCCCATCAGCACTTGGAAAGTAGGTACCAGGGCAGTGGCATCGGCACGTGCATACTGAAAGGATGACACGGAGCGAGTCTGTCAGCAGAGAGACCGGCCGGGCAACTCTCTCTACAGTGACAAAGCATGCAGCGGATTGCAGAGACATCTGAGGTCCAATCCACAGGGCTTGGGGACCACGTAGACTTAGGAATAACAGAAAAGGAGAATTGGAGACATCAAATCTCAACCTCAAGAGTAGGGCAAAGAACCACAGAAACCAAAAGAAAAGGGAGCAAGGCCCACAGGCTGGGGGGCAGGATCCACACAGCGCCTCAGCTGACCACCCATGCTTCCAAACCTCTGTGTGCAGCAAACCATACGGCAGCATTTTTCTCATCTTCAATTGTTATTTAGAACTGCAGGGGCCGTGACGTGAAAGCCAGATATCGATAGGGGGAAAAAAGACGCACTCAGTAACAACCTGTGCCGCTTACAAAAATTATTTATATGGGCAATGGCAGCAGGAGATGAAGAGATGAAAAAGAAACACACACCATGCTCATGATGAAGCGAATCTAATGCTCAGAAAGAGCCTGAAATACTCTACCCTCAGCAGCAGTCCCGGCCAAGCTTCCCCAGGGGCAAGTGCGTTAATGCTTTATACAAATCCAAAACAGAGGCGAGTCTTGGCAGCAAAGGCTCTTACTCTGAGGATTGAAAAAGTGATAGATGATGAAATGTGATGCTAAAACGCCCAGCTAAACCATTAATTCTTGCTGAAGGCATTCTCCAATGGCTGGGAAAAAAAACAGTCTTTCCTATAAACTAAAACCACACTCATTATTTACAGCTGTATCATTTTAAAGGGATTTTATGTCAACATGAACATGGACAATGACATGCCCCTATCTCACACTGCAGCACACAGGGCCCACTGGAGGAGCAGGGCCTGCATGGGATGCCCCCAGCGCCCCATCTGAGGATGGACAGGTAAGCGTTTAAATAATACCCACCTGGCCCTCCCTACTCCAATAGGCAAGGCCCAGCTGGACAGGAACACCGGGAAGAGCTCGGACATGAAGAGCACCTGCTTCCCCAAATGCTCCAGGCACTGTGGTAGGAATAGGAGCCACAGAGGGTCTTGAGCTGTCAGGAGCTCCACCCCAGCTTCCAGACTCCATGACTCCAACTTCGCCAGAGGGCAAAGTTTTGGATGAGAAACTGTCATTCTCCTACCTCAGAAAATAATACCCTTAGTATCTCTTGCCACTTCCGGGTTTCAAGTGTACAAACTGTCCAATTTCTTTCTCCCTGAAGGAAGACTAGGTCTGGAAAGCAGGCAGGAGAGAAAGCCTCTGTATGAGGTGGGCCTCCTGGGCAGAAATGACCTGACACCCAGATGGCTGGGAGTTCCACAAAGTACCCATCTTACGGGGATGCCAGGAGTGATGCCAAAGAGATGCTGGACTTGTCCTGGGGTCCCTGAGACGTGTGTTCTCCACTGAGCCCCCCTGCTAACAGGAGAAGCAAGCCAGAATTGAGCCAGGCTAGGCTGAGCGGGAAACGTGTGTGCACAGTGAGAAACACACACACACACACAAGAACCTTCCAACCATCAGCATTATCATCATGGCACACTATGACATATAAAGCCCATTCACTCACGGCCACCTAAGATAACACGGTTCTCAGATAACACCTGGCTTCCTAATGAAAAACCTACGTCCCAGAGAGGCTAAGCCACTCGGCCCAATGGCCCGGATCTGATGGGAGGGAGGACAAAAACACTGAGGTCAGGATTCCAGACGCAGCGCTGTTGAGGTTCTAGACCACCACCACTGCGCAGCAGTAAGACATTTACCTGGATGCCGGGAGGGTACTGACTCGGGTGAAAAACACAGACGGTTCAACTTCTACATGCAGCCCCAGGGAGAGATTCCTGTAATATCCTTCAGTGTGGCCTGGGCCTCCAGAGTATTTGAAATTCAGGACAGCTTCCAGGGTCTAAAAAGAGGTTAAAAACAAAACAAAACACACACGTTAGTACTCCCTAGTTTAATCCACCAGGAGGCAGGTGGCTTCGCTTAGGAAGAGTCTGAAGATAATCCCACCTAGCCACATCATCAGCACTGGCCGACTCACACCCCCGGTGGGCGCCATCTTTCCTGGGATGACCCAGAATCTACAAAATTCTCAATCCGTACGTGCAAATGAAAAGGGCTTCCACAGCTTCTCCGTGGTTAAATAAGGCATTTTTTTCGTTGTTTTTTTGTTTTTAGAGACGGAGTCTCGCTTTGTCACCCAGGCATTGGCATAAACTCGACTCAATGCAACCTCCACCTCCCAGGTTCAAGCAATTCTCCTGCCTCACCCTCCTGAGTAGCTGGGATTACAGGCGCCCACCACTACCCTCAGCTAATTTTTGTATTTTAGTAGAGATGGGGTTTCACCATGTTGGCCAGCCTAGTTGAACTCCTGACCTCAGGTGATCCACCTGCCTTGGCCTCCCAAAGTGCTAGGATTACAGGCATCGGCCACAGCACCCAGCCTAGATACAGCATTTTAGAGAGAAAAACACATTTCTATGAGCATCATTTCAACATAAGATGAGGTGACAGGCAGGGCAGAGTGCTTCCATCCAGAAGGTGGAGTCACTTGGGCTGACAGTGAGTAAAAGCTGACAAACCCCACAGTCAGGATGTTTCCCTGAACCCATCCAAGAGATGAGTTCACAGGGCAACGAGGCCTTCCAGGAGAGGCAGGGTGCTGCACATCGGGGAGTGCCCATGTGCTCCTGCTGGAGTCCAGTGGCACCCAGTGAGAGGTGAGGAACAGAGGTATGGGAAGACCCCAGCCATGGGAGTGGCACTGCACACTGGTGGGCTGGGAATGGAAGGGTAACATTATAGCTTCTCTGCAGCCTCGAGTACAGGGCAACACCAGAGGAATGTAGAGCCTGGGGGGTACCCACAGTAACCATAGTAACAAAAAAATCCAACCCGGTTTCCCACCGACTAAAGGACCTCGCCTTCCCCAGGAGCATCCTGAAGCATCTTGAAGCAGCAGGCACAGCAGATCCAGCCCAGGGGCCAAATCTGGCCACCGCCTGTTTTTGTGTGGCCTGAGAGCTAAGAACAGTTTTTACATTTTTTACAGCTTGTAAAACAAAACAAAACCGGAGACAAATATGCAACAGAAACCATATGCGGCTGGCAAAGCTCAAATCACTTACTGTGTGGACCTTTACATCAAAGATTTGCAAATAAAACCCAGAGGAAAACACAGGAGCAAATCTTCATGGTCTTGGGTTAGGCAAAGGTTTCACGGATATGACACCAAAGGAAAAACGAAATGCAAAAAAAAAAAAAAGCTTCTCTACTGTTAAATAGGGACAATAATTAATACATATCTCACTAGATTCCTGCAGACTCATTGAGCAAACATAGTGACAGAACAAGAAGTCACTCATTAAATCAACTCCTTTCTCCCCTCCAACCCTACCCATTTGACACTGTGATGCAACATGGCTTAGAATTGGAGGAAATGGGTTTCATTCCCATTTCTTCTAGGTTTTGTTTTTTATTCTTGTAATGTGGCAAAGTATGCATAACATAAAAGTTACCATTTTAACAATTCTAAGCGCACGGTTCAGCGGTATTACACATATTCACCTTGTTAATCAACCATCTCCGTCATCCATCTCCATCTCCAGGAATTTTTTATCTTCCCAAACTGATTATGGCCATCCTAAGGGGCATGAAGGGGTACCGCTCACTGTGGTTTTGATTTGCATTTCCCTAGTGACGAGTAATGTTGAGCATCTTTTTATGCACTTATGGTCCATTTATGTATGCGCTTGTGGTCCATTTATGTATCTTCCTTGGAGAAATTTCTATTTGAGTCCTTCCGTCTTATTTTAAAAGTTCACTATTCCAAATTCCTCTCACCACTCCTCAAGGTGTCTTTCATGGCTACGTATTGACAGGTTCTCTTCAATATTTGTACTGCCAGAGAAACACCTTCACTGATTCTCTCCACCTATGTAAATACTATTCCTCCTTGACAGCCCAAATAAAGCTATGTCTTCTCCTTACTTACAAATGGCTCAATAAAATACATATTTTTTAACTATTCAAGGATCCTATTTTGGCCTCACCAAAATCCCAAATCCTTTTTCATTCCCCTTATTCCCAAGAACCACAATATCAACTCCAAAGGGTTGCTGATTTCTTGTGAACATGTCTTAGACCTCTTAAATTGCCCTTGTCATCAGCAGAAGGTGAGACTCAACACACATACACTCAATAATTCTATCAAAACTCTCTGAGTTCAACTGACTTTCATCTGTTTGATCTATTTTTTCATTCATCTTTCAAACACCTCCTGGGTATCTTCTGAGTGCCAGGTTCTGCACTTAGTACAAGATGAAGATGTGGTCCCTGATCTCAGGAAGCTCAGTAAATACTGAGTGAGTCAATGTAAGAATAAATTAGCTAATAAATAAATGAAGCTGACCAACCCCCTAACATATATACAGCGTAGTCCTCAAATTGCAGGCATAGTAATCACAGATATACACAAACTCTCAGTAATGGCCTTGAAAAGCCAAAATCTGTGAAGTACCAACAAATGTCACCCTGGCTTTTTTGTTTGTTTGTTTGTTTAACTTAAATTTAAAAGCCACCTACAGAGAGTGATGTAGAAGAAATCACCCGGGGAATGAACAAAAAGTACACAGAGACAGATAACTGTCAAGTACCACATCCCCAAGAAGGAACAGTCTGTGTTTCTATTTTCTGGGAATTCACTATTTCTTTATTCTGTAGAAAACCAAAAAAAAAAAAAAAAACAAAAAAAACAGAAAGATAATTATGAGGGGAAATATCTAATTTTTAAAAATCAAGCACAGAAATGGTGTATTAGTCCATTCTCACACTGCTATGAAGAACTGCCTGAGACTGGGTAATTTATAAAAAGAGGTTTAATTGACTCACAGTTCTGCATAGCTGGGGAGGCCTCAGGAAACACAGAATCATGGCAGAAGGGGAAGAAACAGGTCTTAGGTGGCGGCAGGAGAGAGTGAGCAAGTATGTGAAGAAGGAACTGTCAAACACGTATAAAGCCATCAGCTCTTGTGAGAAGTCACTCACCATCATGAGAACAGCATGGGGGACACCGCCCCCATGATCCAGTCACCTCCCACCAGGTCCCTCACTCGGGGATTACAATTCACGATGAGATTGGTGGGGACACAAAGCCTAACCATATCAAAAGGTTTCCTGAAGTTCAATGTCACTGCCTTTCCTCTTTGAGATAAAAACAAAAACCAGAAATAACAACAAAAAAAGCTTCCTCAGTCTTTTAAAATTAGAATATTTTAATAAGAACATACGGGAAGATGGGAAGTCAAAAGACACAGGATGTCCAAGCCCTTTTCCTCAATTCAAGAGACTTCATAAGATGTTCCCTTCTAAGAGCATTTTTCAGTCCTTACAGAAGACTATTGCAGAAATCAGTAATAAGCAAGAGACCACAACAAAAATATTTATTTTCTACGTACACCATTTACTATTCCAGTTAATATGAAAGGCCTGTCAGTGAGTACCTTGTATTAGGGAGCACCTACTCTGTGCCAAGTGCTGCACTAAGTGAACTATGCACCCAAAAGCAATGGTCATGAGATCCCCACAAGGGAAGTGCTGCTTTCACCAGTGAGGCTCGGGGCACACCCAGGAAGCAGCACAGGCAGGAACTGAACACGGAGCAATGCACCTGCACAGCCCACTCTCTTGCCATTCAGGCAAACTGTTCAGAATAGCATTCATTCACTCATCGAATCATTTACTCGCTCACTGTGGACAGATGTCTACTATGTGCCAGGGACTATAACACCTGAGAAGAAAAAGGCACAATACTGCCCTGGGGGCCCCGGAATCTGGTAAAAGAAACAAGCCCAGAGGCCTCTATGTAAATTGTGACATGTTGTGTCATGGATAAGTGTATTAGGATATATGAGAATACAGGAGGAGAAAGGACTACATATGCTGGGTAGGCAGGAGCTGGAAAAGGAGGAACAACAAACCAGTCAGGAAGACAGGATTCGACAGTCATCAAATTGAAAATCGATGAAGAATAGAGAAAAACATTTATACTAAGACCTACTTCTTGAAAATATTAATTAATGTGACAATCCTCTTAAGTTGATCAAGGAAAAAGAGAACAACAAATTACCAACATCAGGAATGAAAATGATGATTGGTACAGATCCTACAGACATTAAAAGGACAATTAGGGAAAAGTGTCAACAGTTTTGTGCCAATAGATTCAACAACTTAGATAAAATGGACACATATTACCAAAATGAATCAAGGAGAAACAGAAAATCTGAAGAGCCTCATGCCAACTGAAGACATTGCATTCATAAGCAAGAATATACTTCCAAAAGATGGCCAGGCATCCTGGCTCATGCCTGTAATCCCAGCACTTGGGGAGGCTGGGCAGAGGCAGATCACTTGAGCCCAGGAGCTTGAGATAGCCTGAACAACCTGGCAAAAGCCCGGCTCTTCAAAAGTACAAAAATTATTGGGCTTCGTGGCACAGGACCATAATCACAGCTACTCAGGAGGCTGAGGCATTAGAATCATTTGAATCCCAGAAGTGGAGGTTTCAGTGAGCCAAGATCATGCCACTTTACTCCAGTCTGCATTACAGAGCAAGACTCTGTCTCAGAAAACAAACAAACAAGCCAACAAGAATATCCTCCCGAAAGAGACCCCAAGCTCAGATGGTCTCTCAGCTGAATTCTAACATATTTAAATTGGAAATATCAATTTTATATAAATATTTCTAGCAATCAGAAAAAAGAAGAAAACTTTCCCAATCTTTTAGGAGACCAGTGTTACTCAACTATGAAAATCAGATAGAAACTTCCAAGAAAACTATTCATGAGGCCTATATCCCTCATGAATTTAAATGTAAAAATTATTTTTAAAGTACTAATGAAT